AAAAAAAAAAAAAAAAAAAAAAAAAAAAAAAAAAAAAAAAAAAAAAAAAAAAAAAACCGATTCTGGCAAGTGTTTGAGTTTGTGTACCGAAACCGTGTAAGCATGGATGCGCTGGAGCTGCAGGCCGCCCTGGTGAAGCTCGACCCGGCGACGACGGTCACGCCAATCGTGCCCCAGCACCAGATCAATTTCGGCCTGAACCTCGACGAGACGGACCTGAGCCTCCAGAACAAGGGGCACAACGGCCAGCAACAGGCGAGAAAGTTCTGCGGTGGGGGCCACCACCATCACCAGAACAACCCCCCGGTGCCGGTCAAGCAGCCGGTCAAGTGCGCGATCGGTGAGGTCAGGTGACGTCAGCCCTGCGTCATCGGGGCCGGGGTGATGTACCACACCTATCCGCCCCACAGGGCCGGCAAGCACCACAGCAAACACCTCGCCAAGGAGAAGCGCCACCACCACCTACACCACCACCACCATCACACCCTCCTGCACCACAAGAGCCGCACGGTAGGTTGACATTTTTCAATATTAACTTGAGACTTTGGTCCTTCCCTTTTAATCGCTCCATTGACAATTCACGTCAACTCTTTCGACACTCGCATCCGGGATTTTCTTGCCCAACCGAAATACCATTTTGCATACAGTATATATGCGAGAAACAAAACGTGCGCAATCACTCGCTCCGATGGAATAGAATAGAAGGTATACTTACATTGTCGCATACGAGTATAGAGTTTGTTTGGCGAGTGAACGTTGATTTGGAAAAAATATACACTCGGTGTCGAAAAAAGTGGAAGAAGAGGCGCGTCGGGCTTTTATTAGGCTCAAATCCGCGATAAGTAATGCGAACTCGATCGAGTGACGGTGCGCCGCTGCGACTGTGTATACGCTGATGTATAGGTACCGTATGTACCGGTGGGTAATCGGCGGTTTAATTCCCTGCGAGTGTCATAAATCCCAGAGCAGTATACCCTCGCGTCTCGTCCCCCTGCGCCGATAAATCAATGATCCCACCACGCCTGTTGTCCTATGTATACTTGTATTCGTACAACTATACGCGAGCGACAGAGAGAGATGGGGGGGGGGGGTGTGAAAAATAAACCGCGCACGGCTTACGCGGTGTACACCTACACGGTGACGATAACCCTATCTGGAGCGTATCTGTAAGCACTTTCAGCGACGAGCCAAGCGCTCTTTAATGCCTGTATACGTATGCAGTGTACTGTCTGGTGTGGGTATCTCGAATCTGGCGCGGATGGGCACTCCGAGAGGAGGTTACTTTATAGGTACATTATACTATCGGGCGATATAAAAAAAAAATTGCTGCGGCCCACACGCCTGTATACCATCAGTTTGTTCTTGCACTTGATACTTTGCGCGTACATTTGTTGATCGACAATATGCGGTTTACTCTAAACAGACAAATGTTTTTTCTTTTTTGATTCTTTAGTAATCAACGAATTTTAACTTGTATACCCAAATTTTCATCGTAGGGCGGTGGGTTTGATTTTTATTTTCAAAGAGCTTACGGTGCAAAAAAAGGGAGATCTAATTTATATGAATTTATTGGCGTCTGATTGTATGAGTTTGAACGCCCAAAGCGGGTAAGTGGAGGCACGAAACTAAGTAGCGTCTATTGATTTTTCGCGAGAGCGCGCGCGCGAGCATCCATTAGGCAAAATAATGATAATAATGGTAATAAAAGTCCGTGGAGCAACAGGCTTCTTATTAACATCAATATCATACGATGATGGATAGCAGATATACGCGCGCGTGTGTGTGCACGTGCAGAGCCGCATATGCAGTTTGTTCAAACATTTATACTGCATTCGCGAATATCGGCTGGATTGTGCAGTGGGGTACATCGTTACTCCCATTTTATTTTTTGGGGCTCGATGGAATTGCTGAGTATTGGCTGTTTATGAATTTTTTTTTTGTTTGTCCCAGAGTATGTAATTATATAAGGGTACAATAGACCCCCGGAACAATCCCATTTCAATGACCTTTTTTTCTCCCTCCTCCCCACTTCCAATGCCTAATAACTTTCCACCATTGCCAACTTTTTCTTTCGAATCATTTCACCGGCCGCTGTCCCTCTCCACTGCTGCGTCCATTTAAAGAGAGAACAACAAGACCTGCGGATGATTGAGTTTCGATATTTTAAAAAAAAGAAAATAAAAACAAAAAGGGGGTTCTCCCTCCCTCACCCCCCCCCCTCTATACATGTATAGAGATCCCAAAACAACAAATATTTCAGCGTGATAAATAGTTTCCGCTACAGCGCACCCGCGTCTATATGTACCCATTTACCAACCAACGACGGGACAAAACAAACAATGTCCACCCTCTCTCGATCCGTCAGCGCGTGGGTGGCGTCTTTTCAAAACGCCCTGTAGTGTAGTATCGCACCCGTCCAGCCTCGTGTATATGTATATATAGCCCCCCCCCCTCGTACAGTATAAATATAGTGTAGCATCGGGTACACATATTTGCTACCCGTAGATAGCAGGGTGAAGCTGAATGCGGAAATGAATCGTGCCGTCGGCTGAACGGGCGGACGCAGATATACGTAACGTGTGGCCCTTCGCGGGCTTCTTTTTTTTCCCCGCCTGCGTTTGCTGTATGTATTGTGTATAGGTGTGTGTATCTACCTTCGAGCTCCGATGGCCGAAAAGGTATATTTCGATCGGACGATCGGGACCAATTTGGCTGGAAAAGGGCTCGGCAAATCCGTTTTTTTGGGGGAGTACGTCGTATCCCCCTTTTTTAAATCATTTTCGTTTGAAAGGGTCCCGATTTCAAGCAAACACCTCTAACTTGCTCCACGCGTTTCTCCACCTTCAATGTACCTCGTTTGCACCCTACTCAAAAATACATTGTAGTGTAAAATCCGAAAATATATATCTCGAAAATTAGAGCAACGTGTATTGCACGTACTACAATTTGCCCAACGGCGTCGAGTGGGCGACTGCATCGGTCACTCATTTCCACGTGCTTGCACTGTACATGCTAATTATAAATTAATTAATAACATACAAGGGGTTATTGTCACATTGTTCGGGGATACCCATGTAACTATTATGCATCTATAATACTCTTACTCGCACTTTTTGAAAACGAGAATACATGCCATAGTCGAGCTGGAATTTCAAGCGTATAATAAATTGTAAATTAACTTTTGGTAACTCGAGGAGGTATTTTTATTTGCTCTCGTATGTATACCGGGACCAACAATAGTGTTCATCGACAAATAAGTTCCACACCCCGTGTATAAAAAATACACAAAACAACCCCCTTGCGTAACACAAAAAGAAAAAAAAAAGCACACTCATAAGAGAGAGAGAGAGGAAATAAAGGGAGCAGCGACTGGAGGAGAGCCACTTGGGTCCCTTAATGAGAGTTGGTTTCAGCTGTACACCACTCGTTCACCATATCAACAATCGGCTGTAGTCGGTGTGTGCAGGAGGGGGGAAAAAGCGCGAACTCGCGCGAAAGAAAAATAAACGTGCTTTGCTTCAATCTCTCCCCTCGTTCGTCATTTTTATCGAAACTTTTGCCCAAACACCCCCGTATGTATAAATTTTTTTTTTTGTATATAAAATCAAAAGAGTAAGTATAAGGGTGTATGTTTGGCTGTGCCCGTGATTCAACATCGTTTCACGTTTCTCGCTTTTATTCCGCGGACAACGCACGATCAATAAAATAGATCAACAATAATATAGTGCTTACTTTCCAAGCTGTACCGTTAACCGCCAACCAAAATAATATTATATGCCCTGTTGGGGATGAAGCCTCTGCTCCGCGAGCCAACCCTCCTTCCTTACGCGCGCCAGCCACGCAATGTACACACGTACAGAGATTGGAGGGGGAGAAAACGAGTGTCTTCCTTTCATCTCCCAGGAATAACTCGGCGAATCGGCTCCCTCCCCTCGATGGCCCTGGCAAAATTTTAGTCAACCCATAGGGAAGGGGGGGAAGCGCCTGCTGCTTCCGAGAAATCCGGTATTATTTCATTTAATTGAGTCGGCGCCATGCGTCGTAGCCCCGCGGAGCAACGATATACATTTGAGAGTTGACGGAGCGTATAGAGGACACGGAGAAGAGGGGGCGTAATTTTTTCACGGATAAAATAAAGGAAAACGGGGGGTGTGTTGGTCTTGGGCTCCTCGAGGTGCGCTTGTTTTTTTTAATTAAAATTATTATGATCATTAGCACACATTGTTCACGTTGCACGTTTTCAATAATAACTGGATACCGTAATAAATACATACGAATATTATACATTACACGTTCGAGGAAGTAACAAGATTTTTCTTAATGAAATGAAGAAGAAGAAAAAAAAAGCGCAACTTATTTATCTAACGAGTACGCGACTGCAGCAGATGCGGACCATAGACATGCATCACCTTTTCAACAACACAACAGACTTGTTACACGTATGTGGTATGCGTTTGTACAGCAGACAAATTAATATGTTAACGCGTCCATCTTTTTTATTAGCGTGCCACTGTGTGTACATTGTATAATACAATAGTATACCAACTCTCCAACTTCAGTTCCAAAGAACATTTACGTGTTGTATTGTTTGCCTATACATGCAGTAAATTGATTCCCAACTGTATGCCAATTTCGAATTTTATCCATACTTACTGTTTATAAGGAACGTTATTTTTTTTAACCATAATATCTTGCAATAAATACATGCAAACGATGCTTTCGGATCTCATAAGTAATAAAAAATAAAAAATACCAGAAAAATAAATTTTCGTATTGGATTTATTTTTAATCTTAAAAGGCTCAAAAATCTATTCTCTTGAAAAAAAAAAAAAAAAAAAAAAATGTATTATCTAAAATATTGTATTAAAAAAGATAATAAATAAATCAGTAGAGTGAGCTTTGGTTACCTGCGCTTGGAAGTTGAGAAAAATACCAATCATCGTTAAGGCAAAATATGCTGCATTTCTCGTACACACTTTAAAATTGCACAACTTGGTTTCCTGGTACAAAAAGAGTACACCTGCCACACCCAAACTCTCAAGTCCGAAAGGCCGCCTAACATGCCCAAAGTATTTTAGAAATGAGCTTTTGATTGTGTGCACACGACAGCAGCAAAATCAACTCAAAGTGACAATAGATTCGCAATTAATTCCAGTGCCGAGCAGAGCCGACTAGACGCGCTATTTCTATTTTTGGTAAAAATATCTCCATTTCCGACCAGCCAGACACGAATTTCTCAGCGTCCAGACGCGCTTTGTCTGGAATTCGGCTGCTTCGCTACGTGAGCGATTGTGCAGGTTGTTGTGTCTGCTCCAGGGTCGAGCGGTTCAATATCGTGTCTGAAACAGTCGAATTTTTCAACAGTAATTACATGGCACATAAAGTATACATGAATTACATGAAAATGACCCCACTTATGGGACGTGCATTATATTCCTCGTATCTAAATCGAGAAAGTAACTTATTTGTACATAAATTCGGCATTAATGCTAAGTGGGGGGGGCGATAAC